TGGCGGTGGTGAAGATAAATTCCATCACCAAAAGCACATTAAAAGGACGCTGGATCTGGTGGAGTGCTGGCCATTTTTTATTTGTGTATTTATTTGCATTGTGTCCTTGCAAGAATTCATTTTAGAGATGTAGAAACTGCAGCCCAGAGAGGCTAAGTAATTTTTTTTTTCAAAATCATACAGCTAATAAGTGAGGAAAATCCCTGTCTGCCTTCAATACCAGGGCAGGTGTATTGATGTGATTGTCTGGATTCCCGATTTTCTCTATTGAGGAGGCATGGGCACTTTAGTCGACTTCAATTACCTTGTGGCTATCACAAGCAACGATTCCTAAGAAACCTACCATTCTCTTTTACACTGATATTTTGAACATCTTTGCTGTAATGGTACGTGTGATTGTTGCATCAAGAGTTTTGAGTATCTCTGAGTGGGCTATCTGAAGGAGGTCCATCATCCCTTCAAGTGATGGATATTCATAAGCAGACAGCTATTCATGAGGCTGGGAGTCTCTTTTTCTGCTTGGAAAAGGAAGCTTTGTACATTCTTCTGTTTTGGCTCCCAACTGCTCTGAAAGAGGGCGGAATCATGCAGAACTGATGGAGGCTTAGGTATTCCGGGAAACGGAAGCGGGCAGTGCTGGCCCACATAGTGGCCCTCTCTGCCCTGCCCTTCACCCAGATTCCTCTCTGCTCCCTGGGCGCTTTTGGAAACTGTCTTCCGGAGCCTGACACATGTTCCTTTGTCTGGCCCCAGCTGTTAGAATCTGTCTTCATTCATTAAGCAGGAAGGGATTTCTCAGAACTGTGCCTGCAGTCTGATGTCACGGAGCGGCCACCCTCAAACCTCAGCAACATCAAATTAGAGACGTCAAAATAAGCCATCGGGACTGTTACCAGGCACCCACTGAGCCTCAGGCACAGTGCCGGATACTTCCTCTTCAGCATCATCTTTAGTCCCCACGACAACCTGCATGGTAGGTGTCATTATCCTAAGTTTTACAGAAAGGGAAACCAAGGCTCAGAAAGGTTATGGGATGTCTCAGAGTTACCTACTTTGGAAAAGGCGGGACGTGAACCCAGGTTGGTGTGACTTCAAAGCTGGCTCTCAGAACACTTTCTGCCGCTGTTCACAACAACAGAAGCTTCAGCCGTCTTCCCTGCTTTTAAAAAGAAAAGGGATTGTCTTTCAGGCAGTAGCCATGCTGTCTTTGGGGAGAACACAGGTTCCTGTCCTGAGGCCTGGCTCACCTCCCTACCAGGAGGAGTCTCCAGCACAGCCCAGTATGGCGGGAGCTGCAAAGGATTGTCACTGATAATTGTACAGACCCATTCATCAGCGGGAATCCTATTTCAAACAGCTCTCTGACTCTAAAGGCACGAAAAGCATGAACTAAGCACAGTTTAATTAATTCTGATCTCACAGACAGAGGCAGCCTGATCAGAGACGATGGGGCACAGACACGAGGCAGGAAAAATTGCTTTGGCCCAGGAAGCAGGGGCACATCCACATGATCCCTTCCCTCCTTCAAGGTGGATAATTCGTTTTTCAGTAAATTCACAGGAGATGTTTGCTTTAACTGTCACTAGCTCTCATCTTTTTGGGAAAGTGTCCTTTAACCTGGGTAGCGATAAAGCCTCTGATCTCATTCACCCAGACAGAAGGAAATGAGCCTCTTTGCTTCTAGTTTAATAACAATATCATCTCACGTTCTTGTAGATTTTGACGGGAAATCTTAAACATCTTAGAAAATCCATATACACAGTCCAGTCACCCAGTTGCCTGAGAGGAAAAGGAGGGAGACATATCATTATTTGAATTTCAAGGAAAGAAATATGGCAGGAGATCTGGGCATGGTGCGTCCTTCTGCCAAGGAGCCTAGAGGCCTCTGTGTGCTGAGATGGTTTCACCTCCTCAATGCCAAGAAGAAAGTGAGGCTACCACACAGAAATGGAGTTCCCAGGACGCGGAGGGCAGAGTCCGCCCAGAGCCAGGACCATACCAGGAAATTGGCAGAGTTCTATCCCATAAATATCACGTCATTTACACCTCACCACTGCT